TTTTTTATGTATTGTTGATATTGAAAAGATACTTGAACATAATTTCTTTCTCATTTAATGATGAATAATTTTTTGAACAAAATTTGAAGAAGTTACTTTAGATTTTAAGTTTACTGAAAAATACAGGTTTTATTTTTTGATAATTTCATTCATTCAAATTATGAAAAATTACTGAAATTTTTGATTTTTTACTTTTTACTTTATAAAATGTTCTAAGATGGAGTGAGTTCAGCTTGACCTGAAATGAGCCGCCTCATTTTTTCATGTGATTCAGATGTACGCGACGTTTTCCGAGGATTCTTGAATCATTAAAGATCATCCAGCAGTTTACTGATCTGCTCAATAGTGAGCCACAGAGGGATTTTTGTCTTTGAATCCTGTGGAATGGGCCGTGGTCGAGAAATTGAAGTAAAGTGTTTGCTTTTTGGGTTGCAAAGATGAATTTGATGAAAACGAGATTGCTGCCTGCTCTGGCTATGACCGCCGCACACAAGAATGAGCGATTGCGTCGTTGTTACTGATTGCGCCAGCAGCGTGGGCGTGGTGGTTAGCGTCACGACATAATGTCATGTCTGAATTCTGAAATTTTTTTGCACCACGAGGGATGATAATTTGGGAGATTGAACGCATCGTCTGCTCGCCGTTTCCAGCCACATCACTTCTCTGAGAAAACAATTTCTGGTTACAACAATCTTTCTAATGTTCATTCTTCTAACGTTGCAGTTTGACAAACCATTTTCGAAACATGAATATATATTTTTTTTCGATGGAATGTCGGGATCAACATTTTTTTGACTTGTTTGCAGTCGTCTCCTCATTGCCCAAAATAAATGTGCTCCCGATTTCACCAGCACTTCCTCGTGTCAGAACTTCGCTTCGTTCAGCCTGCCTACCAGATTTTTATTCTACTCTCAATGTTCTTAGTTTTCATCGAAAGACAGATCGAAGCTCAATGTCGTAAGCAGCAGACCTGAGACGTACCGTCGCACAAATTTTTCGAACAATTCAAAGCGAAGAGTTTACCTGTTCGATTTTATTTACCTTCAAATTCATCTAGTCATCGACCGAAGCCATCGCAGCATCTGAAGAGACGTCATCGCATAAAATTCTTTTCATTTGATCGGTAACTGCGCGAAGAGTCTAGCTTGTCAGATTTTGTCTTCTGATTCAAATTCGTTCTCAGTTTCCTACGAAGATTGAGCTCGAAGCTCATCATGTCATCAGAGTTACGAAATGACGTCACGGTACAAAATCTTTCAGTTTGATCGATAAACTCAAAGTGAAGAGCCTGACCAGCCTATTCTGACTTCAGCCTGTTTCATTAATGTCGTTAGAGTATTCGAATGACGTCATTTGCACAATTTCAGTTTGACGATACCAAAGTGAAGAGCCTGCTTGTTCAGATTTTTACCTAGTTCAAATTTGGCTTTCTATCGAATGATTGAATAATGTCAGATACCTGAAAATGTGACAGTCACAGTACAAAGGCCTGACGATAACTAAAGTGAGTTGTTCATTCGTTCAGATTTTTATCGAAATTGTTCAGTGCTTGCTGCCGAGATTGAAGTCATTGTAGGGAGAGAGGGTCGTGACGTCACGGTTAGTTCTTCAGTTTGACGATGTTCAATGAAGAGTTCGAGCCTGTTCAGACGTCTCCTGCCTCTACATCTGTTCTGCTTCTGTCGACATGCGACTGACGTCGATGTCAGTCAGGAGACCTGAGGCTGCGACGTCACGGTACGTTCAGTTTCGTCGATAAAGCGAAGAGCCCAGCCTGTTCAGACGCCTTTATTTCGACTCAGTCTGCTCTTAAGCTCTACGAGGCCTGAGATTGAAGTCATCATGTCAGTCAGGAGAGCCCGCAAAATGTGCGTTCATAGGCCTCTTCAGCCTGACGCTGACATTCAAAAGCGAAGAGCCCAGTTTGCTCAGATTTTATTCTGCATCTAAATTCTGTTCTGTTTCCAGTCATCGAAATTGAGATACTGAAGCTCAATCGTCAGCAGAGCACCAGATGTGCATTTCGGCTAGCTCTTTCAGTCGATAAATTCAGTCGTGCAGAATTATCTTTTCATTCTGAAATTCAAATTCGTTCTGTCTCATCGAGTTCGAGATCGAGTCAATGCCCATCGAGGGAGAGTGTCGACCATGTATCGCGACGGTACCAAGCGATAGAGTGCGAGCCTTGCTCAGATTTTATTTCTAAATTGGGCAGCCTTGTTTTCTATCGATCAAACTGAAGAATTTTTGTACCGTGACGTCACATTTTCAGGTCTCCTGATGACATTGAGCTTCAATCTCAATTTCGATAGAAACTAAGAACAGATTTGAATTCAGAATAAAAATCTGAACAAGATAGACTCTTCACTTTGAATTTATCGATCAAACTGAAGAATTTTGTACCGTGACGTCACATTTTCAGGTCTCCTGATGACATTGAGCTTCAATCTCAATTTCGATCAAAACTCAAGACAGATTTGAATTCAGAATAAAAATCTGAACAAGATAGACTCTTCACTTTGAATTTATCGATCAAACTGAAGAATTTTGTACCGTGACGTCACATTTTCAGGTCTCCTGATGACATTGAGCTTCAATCTCAATTTCGATCAAAACTCAAGACAGATTTGAAATCAGAATAAAAATCTGAACAAGATAGACTCTTCACTTTGAATTTATCGATCAAACTGAAGAATTTTGTACCGTGACGTCACATTTTCAGGTCTCCTGATGACATTGAGCTTCAATCTCAATTTCGATCGGAACTCAAGACAGATTTGAAATCAGAATAAAAATCTGAACAAGATAGACTCTTCACTTTGAATTTATCGATCAAACTGAAGAATTTTGTACCGTGACGTCACATTTTCAGGTCTCCTGATGACATTGAGCTTCAATCTCAATTTCGATCGGAACTCAAGACAGATTTGAAATCAGAATAAAAATCTGAACAAGATAGACTCTTCACTTTGAATTTATCGATCAAACTGAAGAATTTTGTACCGTGACGTCACATTTTCAGGTCTCCTGATGACATTGAGCTTCAATCTCAATTTCGATCGGAACTCAAGACAGATTTGGATTTTGAAAAAAAATCTGAACAAGATAGACTCTTCACTTTGAATTTATCGATCAAACTGAAGAATTTTGTACCGTGACGTCACATTTTCAGGTCTCCTGATGACATTGAGCTTCAATCTCAATTTCGATCAAAACTCAAGACAGATTTGAAATCAGAATAAAAATCTGAACAAGATAGACTCTTCACTTTGAATTTATCGATCAAACTGAAGAATTTTGTACCGTGACGTCACATTTTCAGGTCTCCTGATGACATTGAGCTTCAATCTCAATTTCGATCAAAACTCAAGACAGATTTGAATTCAGAATAAAAATCTGAACAAGATAGACTCTTCACTTTGAATTTATCGATCAAACTGAAGAATTTTGTACCGTGACGTCACATTTTCAGGTCTCCTGATGTCATTGAGCTTCAATCTCAATTTCGATCAAAACTCAAGACAGATTTGAAATCAGAATAAAAATCTGAACAAGATAGACTCTTCACTTTGAATTTATCGATCAAACTGAAGAATTTTGTACCGTGACGTCACATTTTCAGGTCTCCTGATGACATTGAGCTTCAATCTCAATTTCGATAGAAACTCAAGACAGATTTGAATTCAGAATAAAAATCTGAACAAGATAGACTCTTCACTTTGAATTTATCGATCAAACTGAAGAATTTTGTACCGTGACGTCACATTTTCAGGTCTCCTGATGACATTGAGCTTCAATCTCAATTTCGATCAAAACTCAAGACAGATTTGAATTCAGAATAAAAATCTGAACAAGATAGACTCTTCACTTTGAATTTATCGATCAAACTGAAGAATTTTGTACCGTGACGTCACATTTTCAGGTCTCCTGATGACATTGAGCTTCAATCTCAATTTCGATAGAAACTAAGAACAGATTTGAATTCAGAATAGAAAAATCTGAACAAGATAGACCCTTCACTTTGAAACAGATTTGAAAATATCGAAGAGTTCTGACAAGGGACAGATTTGAAATCAGGAAACACACAGTTTGTTTTGGTAAAGAGAAGTTATCGAAAAGGTACAGTAGATTTACAAACAAACCAAAAGAAAATGTTGATCAATAATCCCAAACGATTTCAAATCGAAAAAAAAGTATATGAACCGAGTTTCGAAATAAAAGTTTTTGATCAAACTTTGCAACGTTAGAAGGAATGAACGGTAGAAAAGTTGTTTGCCAGTAGAAACGAATTTTCTCCAGAAGTGATGTAGAAACTACTTAAAACGACGGAAAAAGGACGGTCTCAACTATCTATTACGTTCAATCTCCCCAAATTCATCAATTATCATCCCTCATTAAATTGCAAAAAAAATTTTCCAAAAAAGATTCGAACCCTGACCGTAGATTCTCGATGTCAGTGACGCTAACCACTACACCACGCTGCTAGCTCCAATCAATGGCAACGTCGCGAGTCATATCAGCTCAGGCGTTTCTTGTGTGCAAACTTTGAGGGGTCATAACTCCGTTAAAAGGCAAAAGGCGTAAAATCTCGTTTCATCAAATTCTCAAACTGTCTTTTTGCAACTCCCTTGTGAGCAAAATAAACACTTTACTTCAAATTTCTCGACCACGACACGCCCGAATTTTTAGGATTCAAAGACAAAAAATCCCTCTAGCCGTACACTAATTGAACGGATCAGTAGAAAAGCATACTTTGGATGATCTTTTAATGATTCAGAATCCTCGAGAAGACGTCGCGGCATCTGAATCACATGAAAAAAAATAAGTAGAACTTCATTTTCAAGGTCAGGAACCTAGACTCACTTCCATCTTAAATTTTTTTATAAAATTAAAAAAATAAAAAAATCAAAAAAATTTCAGTAATTTTTTTCATAATTTGGATGAATGAAACAGAATGAAATTATCAAAAAAATAAAACCTGAAAATATTTTTTTCGAGCCCAAAAACTTTTTTTAAAAATCTAAAGTGGCTTCTTCAAATTTTTTTACCGATTAAATAAATCATTCAAATCATTTTAAATGAGAGAAATTATGACAAGTATGCTTTATTATCCTCAAAAAAACTTCAAATATCCCAAAAAAAGAATTTCAGACGTACTCATTTTTGACCTCGCAACGTTTGACCCACCATCTCCAAAGCCCGCCGGATTTTTAATTTTTTTACGGTTTTTAATCGATTTTTTTACCCTTTTTTTAATATTTTTCTGTGTTTATTGGTGATAAATCGTCTACTTCAAGTCATTTCAAGCTTTTTAGGCTTGAAACCACGAAATATTGCTTTTGTAAAAAAAGTTTCAATGAGCTCCTGTTTTTCAGTTTTAACGAGGTTTTTCCGATCCTGGTTTTTTTCTTTTTTTCGACCTCTCTTCTTCCTTTTCTGATTTCAATTCAATTTTTTTCTTTACCCTTTTCTTTTTTTCATATCTGTAAGTTTATTAAATACATTGCAGTACGATTAAAACATTTATTTATGCAAGAAAAATACCACAGAGAGACCAAATTCATACAAAATCAGATTTTTTTGGTTTTCGAAATTTTTTTGGAATCATGGGAAAATTAAAAAAATCGTAAAATGGATTTCAATGCGAAAAATTGAATAGCAATTCAAGAAAAGAATGAGAAAGAATATTCCACGAAATTGTGACGAATTTTTGAAAATGTGAGAAATATGAGAAATCAGAAAAACAGCCTGAAAAAAATTTCTAGATATTTCTAAAAGTTCAATACTTCCTTTTTAAAGACTCTATTTTTGGAAAAACTTTTGAAAAAAACTACAGGGCTCCTTCAAACTGTATAAATCCGTAGAGCCGAAAAAAACCCTGAATATATTTGAAAAAAAACTTCTCTTATTTCTACAAATTTCCCCTCAAAAGTCATCACAAAAATTGGAAGGCAAATAAATAAAAGTAAAAAAATATATTAAAAAAATACGACTTGGTCTACGGCCCCTTCAGTGACTACTTCGAATTTTTCACCGATTCAAAGTAATAAAGTATTAATAATAAGAAAAAAATAATGATAAATAGATTTTTATTATTCTCGAAAATAATTAGTGAATACAAAGGAAAGAAAAATTAGTCGTATGTGTTTCGCGAATTTTTAATAAATTAGTAACTACTTATAAACAAAAAAACGCGACATCGTCGCAGAAACAAAAAAATACTTCCTTCAGTATAATACAGAAATGTTCGTGAGAAAGCTCGCAAAGAGAGCAAATTCAACGCAAATAAAAATTTTGAAACAAACCTTGATGAACATACTCGCGTTTTATTCATCTTTTCGATTTCTTCTCTCTTTTTTCCTCCTTCCTCTTCTCACTCGCTTCTAAAAGATTGTTGACGGAAAACTTTCTATTTTCAATGATTCAGAAACTTTGAACAGAAATACAATAAGAAAAGATCAATTTTTGTAACTTTTTCGAATAAAGGAAAACGGCGCCGAGATCGATTTACAGAGTATGCAATGGCGCCCACGTCCAAGCGCACTATAGAGTGTTACAGAACCCGAAAATTCGAAAAAAACTTTTTCTGCGGGTTGGGAACTTTGTACAAAATATGTTATAGGTAAAAGGGGAGCCTGTAAAATTGATTGTCGATTTTGAAGGTTCAATTATTTTCTGAGTTCCTGCAAAATTGAAATTCCACTCGAATCGTGCTTTTTTAGAAAAAAAAATCTGAGAAAATATCCAGGGTTCTCCGGATTTTTTGAAAATCTTAACTGAATGCTCTATATTTTCCGTTTCCTTTCTTCATTCAACAATCATTTTTGATGTTCTGAAACATTTTTTTTCAGATCTTCGATTCCAAACTCAATATTGAATAGAAATTATCGAAGCGTTCACAGCGAACAGCGATCAAGTTAGTTTCTTTCTCGATTATTTTAATATAAATCCAAAAAAACACGAAACTGATAATGATGGTCAGTCATGAAATTTGAAATTTAAAGAAGCAGAAAAGTTGATTTTTGATGGAATTTTTTTCAAAAAGTTCGGCTAGAGATTTGGAAGCTTTTACAATGAAAAAAAGAAAAAAATTTGCTGTAATTTTTTTAAGGAACTGATTATAGACGTCCGAAATGGACAAGCAACACCGCGACCAAGGTCGCCAGCGAAATGACAGAAGGCCTCCATTGGAGGAACCTGAAGAAGTCGCCGGAAGCGACCCTTTTCCAGTTAGTTCACGATTTGGCTACAATATTTTAGGGTTAAAAAAGAGTCATAATCGTGTAAAATCAAAGGTTTCATGGAAGAAGACATGTAGGACTTCAAAATAAATGTTTTTTTCTCGGAAACGTAGGGTACCAAAAAGACTCTGTGCCATATTTTAGGGTTCAAAAAGACTTTTAGTCATGTAAAATCATTTTTAAATAGAAAAAGACACGTAAGGCTTCAAAATAAATGCTTTTTCTCGGATATATGTGGTTTAAAAAGACTATCGGTCATTATTTAGGGTTCAAAAAGACTCTCAGCAATTTAAAATCGATGTTTTAATGTAGAAAATGCAGACAGATTGATATAGAACTTCAAAATACATGGTTTTCCTCAAAAATGGTTTTCGCATACAGTTCAAGTCTCTGGATTTTTTTTCTCGAATATTCTACGATTAAATTGAAGAAAATTTATCAATCACCAACTTTCACAATTTCCACGTCGAACTCTGCTTTTCCTGAAAATGGAGAAAATATTCAAGAGGCCACTTGGAATTATTGAACATCTCAAAGCAATCTTATGAAAAATCATTATTCCAACTTTATCAAACTAACTTATCACAGAGAAAATTAAGACATGCACTTTAATAAATTACACAAAATTCTTTCAATCAATTCGAGAATGAAAAACTTTCCTCAATTTCGCATTAAGGCCAACATTTCGAAGTTGTATAGGTGATTCACGGCTGGCTTGAGCCATCGAAAAAAGAGTCCTGACACGATAATAAATGAGACAGTGTCTGGCTGATGGAGAGCGCAGACAGGCCAAGCCCCTTAGCGTCCCAAGTTAGCCGTGAACCGACTATAGCTTATAATGATAATATTTATTTACAGGCAGAGCAAAATGACATTTACGAGAATTTTGAAAGAATAATTGGCAATGAAGCCTGAAAAAATAAATAAAAGGTGATAGAGCTTTAATTTGATTCATATGAGTAATTTCAGATGATTCTGATTCTCGGTTTTTTTCTGTAAATGTCTTTTATTTAGAAGATAAGACCGATAAAAAGGTTGAAATTGCTGAAGAGTTTCTAAAATTTTCTTGATGCTATATTTTTTAAAAAAAAGTTGATGTAGCCAGAATCGTGATTTCTCAAAAACCTCAAAGAATAGGGGCAGGATATTATCCCTACATAGGCAAAGTTGGAGAGGTGGAAAAGGCTCCATAGAAATGTTCCTTTTTTGAAGAAAAAGGTTCTTTTTTCCTGTTTTTTGCACCATTTTGTGCTGCCTCTCCCTTATTCTCCCATTTCTTGAGCCTTTAAAATCCCAGAAACAATGGAAGACTCGAAAAAGGACTCTTTTTACTGCCTTTCTGGGGCCTTTTTGGGCCTTCCCTGTTAAGCGACCATTATCCACCTTTTGACTTTGCCCGAGTAGAATATCATCGAACTCAAAAGTCCAACTGAAAACTAAATTCCTTTTTTTTTTACAGTGGCCGCCATGCCACAGCATAGCACTGAGGCCAGAAGTCGCTGAAGGCGTAAGTTTCTTTTTTATTGTGTTCAATATTTTTAAAAAACTAATTTGAGCTGATTTTTGGGTACCAGCGCTCAAAAAAATTCTAATATTTTTCTTCCGGAGAAAATCTTTGATACACTTGAATAGTAGTCCAATCACTCTATGTTTGAATGAAATATAAAATTTTTTTAAGAATCATAGAACTTTTTGAGTATTCTAAAATAAGGGATAAGAGACCATCGTATTGGGATATCTAACATGGTTTCGTTTCAGACAAGGGACTTCTTGCGAGAGAACCGGCACGCAAGACCCGGCGTCGGCAGACTGTACCACGCCAGCATCTGGACGGACCAGTTCGGAACAGAGGTGAGTTCTTTGATCCGCCTTTTTTTCTATCTAGTATGACCTTACTGATTAGTAGAGCTTCCAACCCCTTGAGATATATAGTCTGTTCATATTTTGAATGTCAAGTCGTCGCTCAAGCTCCGCCCCTAATGGTGCGATAAACCAATCAGAGAGCGAGCCATCCACAGAGTTTTTTTCAATGACGTCATTGCGCTTGACATTAAAAATCTGAACAGACTATAGTCCGTTTTTTGCGACTGGGACGGGTTTTCTCTGCGCCCTCCTTATCTCTCAACTCTCATGTTTTCCATGTTTCTCTGACCGGTGAGGGAACAGAGAGACGCAGACACGTGAAAAATGTCAAGTTGCGGCGCGAGGACTATATGTATAATTTTGTCTACAAAAAAAAAGTTATAGACATTTTTTGAAGAGAAAACGCTCGAGTTATCTTTAAATTTAACCTACAATTTTTCGAAAAAAAATTTAACTTTTTTTCAAAGCTTATTCTAGTCCGTCGAGAAAAGAGAAGGATTTTGTATCATTCGATATTTTATCGATTTTAAAAACTCACAACCAGTAAGAGCCCTGAAAATCTCACAAAACGGAGTTTGAAAATGAGAAAATTTATTTTTACAGCACGTCGAACTGACCCTGTTCGTTCCGACCGAACAAGATGTCGCGGTTCGTTTTTTTTTTTTCTGATTCTAAAGACTCAAGAAATGGTGGAAAAAGGTAGAGACAGCAAAATAGTGCATAAGAGCCGAGGAAATGGCGCAAAAGGCAGCAAAAAAGGAGCCTTTGTGACCTTAAAACGAACTTTTCTATGAAGCCTTTTTCCACCTTTTCCGACTTTGCCTATGATTGATTGAAATGTCTAAAAAGTTTTTTTGAGGAATAAAAAAACTAAAGATTTAATTTTGAGACAGTTTCTGCGATTTTTTTCTTTCAAAAAAATACATTTTTAGGCAAAAAGAAGGACACGGCTTTATTATATAAGCTTTTTTTATAAGCCGTGTCCTTCTTCTATATAAGGTTAACCTGATGGAATTTCAACCAATTTCTAGTTTTTCCAACTTGTTAATGGTTCAAAAAATAATCTCTGAATCTGTACTTGCATGAACATATTATTTCAGTCGATCCGGGAAGAGGCGCTTGAAGTAGAAGCCAAAAGGAGAGAGCCGGCGCCGCCAAGGCCTCAAAACCGCAGGCCCTGCGAATTCGCCAGAGTTCGTTTTTCAGTATTTTCAAGCTCAATATATTATTATTCATGCTTCATCAAAAGTTTGGATGAGAGAAATAAACCTGAATGCCTGAAAATGTGAAGTGAACATGAAAAAAAAGTCTGACGTTTTTTTAAATCGATTCAGCATCGAAAAGTATTTTTTTCGACTCTAAAAACTAAAAAAATTTTTAAAAAAATAATCTCAACTTTGAACAGCGTCTCACTACATGAAAAAAAGACTATTTCCAAAAAAATTTTTTTGTAATAAAAAAATTCGAATTTATTTCAATTTTACGAAAGAAATTCACAAAAAAAGTCCTTTTTGAGTTTACTACGTTCCGAATGAAACAAATAAGACAGTGGGGCGCAGTAAACTTTTATTTTTTTCCTATTAGGGTCGAGGCAAATGAATTGATGGCTACTGTATCGTTTTTTTATTATCATATTACAGTTTATGGACGTCGCCGGTCCTGAACAAGCCGTAATAAGGCTGGAAAGAAGAGAAGAAGAACGAGAGGACGGCGAAGATGAGGAAGAGGTCAGTACATAAAGAAGCATATCTATTGAAAAATAATCACACTTCTGAGTTTCTTATTTCGAGATTTTTCTGATTATTTCTTTTCGCATGTCCGAAATCAAAAAATTGAACCCGAAACAGCTCCTATGGTACAGTAAAATCCAACTTTTCAGGCTCCCTCCACTTCAAGAAAACGCAAAGCCGAGGAAGACCTCTCGGTCCGGTCTCCGAAGGTTAGTTTGAAAAATAAAAGAAAAAATGATCGAAGCCAAAAATGCATCAATTTTAGGGAGAATATTTTCTATACGGTTCATTTTCCGAAACTTTCGTTGTCATAATAACCATTTTGTAAGCCTGATATTTCAAAATGGGTCAACTTTATCAGAAATAAACTTACATTAATTATTTTCCATCAAGAGAAAAGATTGAATGCTTTGATTGAATGCTCATTTAGCTATCTAGAAACAATAAAAAGCTGGGCAAAATTTTAAAATTTTGAACTTTTTTTGATAGATTTTTTTCTCATTGAGTTTTTTTATGAATTCAAAAACGAAAAAAGAAGAGAAAATGTTGAAAAAAATATGGTCCGAAAAAAAAATGACATATGAAAAAAACGAAACAGAGCCTTTTCATGCTGTTTGAAACCATTGGAATCGAAATTTCACCAAACTAATTTTTTGAATTATTTTTTTCCGAAGCGTTTCGAAGGTACTTATATTGTCGAAATAATCATTTTTCATCAAATTTCAAAATGTTTATCAGAACTAACATGAGATATTTCACAACCAGGAGAAAAATTATCAGTCTCTTTAGAATAGGAAAAAAAGCTGCGCATTCATTAAAAATTTGAACTTTTTCCCGTTTTAAGACAATACGGAGATGCTTTCTTTATGCCAAAATGTGTATTTCGCGCAGATGATTTTTTTATCCTAAAATGTGAATTTCGCGCAGTTTTTTTCTTTTAATATATTATAAATAAATCAATCAGGGCTGTGCGTGGGCCGGTCTTTATGCGCGCATCGATCCAGGAGCTTTTTTTAGATCTTATTTTTAGAATGGACATGAAAATTTGAGTTTCGATCCCTCATTGTTGAAATTTCGAGACAAAAAAAGTGAAAAAAACTGAAAAAAATTTTTCGACCTCTTGGCGGCTATGGCAAACCCAGCGCACAGCTCTAAAGTTAACAACCTTAAAAAAACTTGTGAATTTCAGAAGACATTTGTTTGGGTCCGCAAGGAACAACGGAGAAGAGGCCCGCGGGCGAAGAATTGGAAGGCCCAGTGCCAAAATGGCGCTGTGTGGATCCAGCGAACGTTGGTTTTTCTTTCTTTCAAAAAAATATTCATTGTTAATCTAGTTGTTAAGTTTTCTAATAGTAGCACTAAAAGATCCACGAATGAATCAGTGAAAAATTGATTTTTTGATTTCTCTCATTGAGGAAGCTCTAATTTAGGGAGTATTAATTTAGTTCAAATCTAGTTTCCGTGGAGTTTAAAAAAAAATACAAAGCCTGAAATCATTAATATGTTTAATTTGATCAATCTTCCAATCTGCACTTTCTTAAAATTTAGGGAACTGTCAAAAAAAAATGTTAAATTGAAATGAAGCCGCCAAAAAGTTAACAAAAAAGAATAATATTTCCACTTCTCAATTTGATTTTTGTTTCAAAGTTATACATTCGAATATAACAAAAAAATCTAATTTTAGGTAAGCGTAATAACTTTTTTTCCAGATCGTTCGATTCAGCACAGGATTAAAACTTTTTGAAAACAATTAAAAATGGATTTTTCTACATATCTAGTAAACGAAAAAACAAAAAAATTAGAGGAAAATAAGGGAAAAAAACTAACCTTTCATTCATCTTTTTCTCCTTTTTCGATTTCCTCTGAGCTTTGTGCAAGTCTTGAAAAAAACGAAGTGAAGAAAACAAAAAAAATGTGAAGAATAAAATACACTTTTTAATAGGAAAATTTCAATTTTTTTCAAATTTTTTTGAGTATGCGCCTAGTTTACGTAACATTGCGACCAATACACGCGCAAAAAAATGACAGACTCCATGAAATGAACTTTTAAAGTTTGTTGAAGTAAAATCATCTATATTCAATGAAAACCAGAAGATTTTTTTGGTATATCAAGTTGTAACTCTTGCATAAATATTTCAAAACTTGTGTTTCAATTTTTTTCTTCCAAACAAAATGAATGTAAAAATTATAATGTTTGATTTTGACCTGCTGAAACGGAAAAACTCATTGCAATTCAAATTAATGAATCGGAGATGATTTAGAAAAGAGTGAAGAATATTGAGAGAAGCTTGAAAAAAAGAGGGGAAATTATTTTTTCTCTTAGGAATTTTTCAGATCTCTCCTAACTAGTTAGAAAACTACGAAGCATATTGCAATCCGTTTCTAAACGAAATGATTCAGGCCGCTGCCGAAGAAAGTGGGGCCGCAGAGGGCCGAACAACGGCGTCGGTAGAAGGAGGAGAAGGAAAAGATGGCCAGGAAGGAGGGCCTCTCGACGACCTTGAGCCGTGGGAGCTGGAGTTGCTCGAATTGGAGCGCTCCGAAGGCTCAGTAAGTCTTCTTCCTCTAGTCATTTTACTTCCTAAAAACTCTCTAAAAATAATAATTTGTTGAAAACTTGAAAAAATCTGGTTATTTGCTTTCTCTTTGTTTTCATTCCTAGCCTTGGTGCTGACAAAAAAAAAAGTGAAGAGGTCAGAATTTTTCCGAGCTCTTGAATAAGTCAGTGCTCTAAATAAAAGATACAAAGCCGCCTGAAGACTTTTTACGCCTTTTTTGTCAGTGGAAGAAGCCGTGTTTATAATGATTCCGCGAAGTTCAAAACAGCCATTAGAGAGGGAAAAATATAAACGAATTTAGGAAGTTCACAGATTATTTTGAATTACGCGGAATTACTTTGAACACGGCATGCACGAGAGCGCCGCAGTGCACGCACACAACACGCTATACTTTACGAAAAAAATATGGGCGGGGCGTCGTCAAAACTTTGCGAAAAAGCTGCTTTCGCGAATCCGATTGAACTTTTCAAAAATTATCGGTTTAGTTTCGGACGGACGACTTCTCCTCTTTGCTGGAGAGCCTCGAAGGGAGCGGCGGAGCTCCAAGGGAGGATGGGGACGAGGACCCAGAAGTTTGTCTTTGAACTTTCTTCTCACTAATAATTTGGTTACTTCATTGGAGTTTTCTTGAAAATCCGATAAAAAATTTCCGAAAAACTAAGGTTTTCCTTGAGAGCATTGAAAAAAACGAAAGAAGTTTTTTGCTGATCTAAAAAAATTTGTTTAGATCGATTTTGTGGGCGGCGCCTTGGCCCCCCAAAACGTTTCTGGAGTGGATGAGGACGACGACAATTCCTCATCCAGTGCCTCGTCACCGGTGATTTTTCTCAATTCTCATATAACTGTAGTTTTCTCTTACACGGGAAGTGCAAAAGGTCGATGCATTGGAATTTGATGAAACTTGGTTTTTTCGGACCTCCTGAATTCATAAAAGTTGCAAAAAGTGCGCCTTTTTGGTTCTAGTCGAGTTATTATACGCAAAAAATGAATTAGTTAGACGAAGGGAATCTCAGATGTCAGCAGTTGACGTGGTGTAGTGGCTAGTAGTCTAGCGCTATGGACCCTATGACGCTGGTTCGAATCCTTCCTTTTTGCCAATTTTTTTCTTTGTTAGCTGTGAAATTCACGGCTAACTTGGGACGCTGAGGGGCGTGGCGTGTCTGCGCTCTCCATCAAACAGACACTATCTCTTATATTATCGGGTCAGGACCCTTTTTTGATGGTTCAAGCCAGCCGTGAATCAACTATAAGTGCTATTAACTTCAATATATGATTCTTGAACCTTCTTTTCATGATCAATTTTCTAGCATTTTTGGAGATTAGATTAGATATAATTTTTTCAAGCGACCCAACAGATACGCTACGAATCATAAAACGTTTAGAAAATTTGAGATTTTGAAGTCGTAGATATAAAATTTCTCAAATTTTAAGCTTTGCAGATCTAAATGTTTTTTTCCAATCGTTTGCTCTTTGACTAATCAGATTCTTTTCAGGCCTCCCTGAGCGATGAGCTCAAAGGAACTCCAAGCTCTCTTCGAGCTTGAGGCGGCCCAAGAGTTCGACTTGTCGGTTAGTTTTATTATTCCTTTCATTTTCTTTTGAAAATAATAAAAAGAAATTCACTGAACTATCACAGTCTTTTTGAAAAACGTCAAATTTCGAAATTTTCAGTGATTTCTCAATCGGTAAAAATTATTGAAAGGAACAAGAACCAGATAATTAAAAAAATTCCTAAAAATATACATTTCTTGGCAAATTAAAAAAATAACCTTGAATTAAAAAAATTGATTCAGGACGAGGATGAGTCTTCGGACTCCTTTTTTCCTCTCCGACAAGCGGCTGGCCGCCTTCAGGAAGGCTTACGCCGAGATGTATCCGGCTGAGGTTATTATTCTGATTTTTTTCTTCCATTTGTCGTCGGCTTCTTCTAGACCTAAACTTTTTCTATCAAATAATAAAAAAACGTTTTTTTATTCGAAAAAAATAAATAGCAAAAAAATTAGCGAATAAAAAAATAAAAAAAGAAACAAAAATATAGAATTTTTTTCAGTTCACCAAGTTTGTTTCTGTAGAATCTCACCGTCATACGAAGTGTAAAAATTGCAATTATTCCCGAATTCTCGCAGAAATTGAGCCGAAAATTGATGGGAAAAGGGCCAATTGTAGACACCCCAAGCGTATTTCTCAATACCATCGAAACCGTATGATTTCAATTTTTAATCGACAGCTCGAATCGTCTAATTCATAGTAACAATAGACTGAAGAAACAGAAAAAAACTTCAAAAAAACAATCAAAGAAAAAATTGGCGCAAAAAAACGAAAGCTTTGGCAAGGATCTGGAGTTCTCACAGTTTTTTTAGGGCGTGCCCGTAAAGCCGATGCGGCGCGGTTGCAAAATAATGTGGATTTACGCATCTGAAAAATGCTTTTTATTCATTTTACAAGAAAAAACTGAAACCAAAAAAATTGAATAACTTTTTTTCTGTTCCAGTTGCACAAAGACAGTATTTTCAATGAAGTAGATTAAAAAGCGTGAATTTTTTTGAAAAATTCTTGAAATTTGATTGGTTGGACTTGGATATATCATATTGAGTGTGAAAAAAAGATTATCAGAATTTTTTTAAATATTCGATGTTATTCAAGTTTTTTTATCAAATATTTTTTGAATTTATGAAGTGCGTTTCATCTTGAAGGTTTCAGCTTTTTGAAATATAACTTGAAAAAGAATAATTATGTCGAATGATGAAATTAAAAAAATAACAAAGAGATTTTTTGAAAAAAAAAAGCTTCAGCAATTTCCTCAATCAGTCTAATACGGCGTGAACTGGAAAATTTTCAGAATGTCCAAAATTTCGAAACTTGAAAAAAGTTCAAATCTAGAACATTTTAAGAAACCTTTCTAGTGAAATAGATTCCGCCTCTTATCTTTTTTTTAATGTTTCTAAATTTGGATTTCAGTATAACGAAGAGGAGGAGGAAGTCGAAGACGAAGAGGAGTATGAAGAAGAAGGAGAAGATGAGGAAGAAGGAGAAGATGAGGAAGAAGGCGAAGACGAAGAAGAGGCCGAAGGCGAAGAAGAAGACGAAGGCGAAGAGGAAGATGAGGAAGAAGGCGAAGACGAAGAAGAGGAAGACGAGGAAGAAGAGGAAGAAGAGGAAGAGGACGACGATGACCAGTCCGGTCCAGCCGTCCAGCCTGCCGCAGCCCCTCCACAAGCTGCGGCAGGTGCTGCCGGACCTGGTCAAGCCCTCCGTCAGCCCGCTCGTCAGGTAACTAGCAAATTTAGTGAAGAGAAAAATGATTATAAAAGTTTTTTTCCCTTTATTAACTAATATAAAAAGTTTTTAAAAAAAGCAAATTCCCGTTTAACCGAGAGTTTTATTGCGCATTTTTCGAAGCAAATTTTTCGACTTGAACTACAAAAAAAGCAAAATTTTCTTAAGTTGCAAATAAAAAGTCGAAAACAGAAAAAAATATAACGGATATCCGGAAATTCAAAGATGATTTTGAACTTCGCGAAAATAACTTTGAACACATCATGTGCGAAAGCGCCGCAGTGCATGCACACGACACACTGAACTTTACAGAAAAATATGAGTTTCGTCAAAAAAACGCCGTGACTAAAATAATCCTTGATGAACCCGATAAAAATCCGAAAAGTTCCAATTTCTCCAGAATTTTTGAGAGTAAGAGCCCTTTTTTCTCGGAAATCAGGGTCTAGTGTGTGTTTTTTTTAAGAATACGCTGTGCCATATTATTTTTCGAATTGACGCATAAAAAATGGACCTGTTTCAGCGCGCCAACCCCGTCTTTGGCCCCGCTCAGCGTGCCTCCAGACGGCAGAGGGGCTTGGGCGTTGGCCAGGCCGTCCGCCGGTCGCCACCAACCCTGGCCGGTCTTTCTCCGGCCCAGCTCCTTGAGCACATCAGAAAGGAGCTGGAGGACAGGCTGGTGGATGGGGGCACCGGCGACGAGGAGCTCCGTAGGATCGGCCGGCTATCCTCGGCGATGACGTCGCTCACCGCAATTGAAAATGGCCGCCGGGTCAATGGAACGCAGATGGCCAGGATTTTGCGGAAGATCCAAATGGCATACTGAGTTAGTTTGCACACAATCATCTAGTTCAATCCAATAATTACTCGACCGACTTTGATTTCAAACGTCTTGATCACTTCGTAAATGACTTTTTAAGAATTTTTCCAAGAGGATGGAAAAAAATTGTGGCTCAGTATTGGAGGAAAAACTGTTTTTGAACTCTTTTTGGGAATCTTCGCGAGTCTGCGACCGAGTTAAAAAAATTTCCCATATTTTTCTCCATCGAAAAATTGAACTTGAAGTGTTTCTATGCGTGAAGGTTACTAGAAGTTTTAGCAATTTGAGCAAATTAAGCTTCTAATTGGTTTGTTTTGGAGCAAAAAGAGTCAAAAGCTATTTTCATGGAGCCAAAGATGTTAGAAAGAAGTGTGTTCGAATATAAAATATTCGGAAAAAAAGATTTCTCTCGAGTTTTAATCACTTCAAAACATGCCCTGAAAGGCGAAGGAGGCGGAAAAATAAGCGGGAAGCGTAGCGTGTGCGTACGCGGTTCTTGGCACGAATTCCTGAAATTCGATTGTATTTTTTTCACTATCTGGCGCCTATTTTGAATTTCGCGAAAAATTACTTTGAACACGGCATGTGCGAGAGCGCCGCAGTGCATGCACACGACACACTAAACTTTACGGCAAAAATATAGGGGGCGTCGCACGCCGTTCTGCCGTTTTTCAAAGTAATTTCGCGAAATGCAAAATAGCCGTCAGAGAAAAGAAAAAAATATAACTAAATTTTGGAGAGTCAGAGATAATTTTGCATTTCGCGAAATTACTTTGAACACGAGTATAAAAAGCCAGCGAATTTTTCATGTAGGGAAAAATTGGCTGTAAAATAACTCATATTTAATTCCGGGCTAATTAGACACGAATTAGAGCAAATTTACCTAGGTTCCCTAGCTGTCCTCGCCAAACTCCTCTCGTCAATGGAAAATCCGCCCGGAAGGCTTTTTGGAAACCCGTTTCACCCACCTTTTACGAATTTGTATCGTCGAACTTGGAATTGATTTTTGTTGTCACCTCTCATCGAGGCGAAATATTGTACCTTTGTCTCCGATTTTGTGTGTTTTTTTGACGTCCAGTTTTATTCTTGAATTGTTTTATTTTTCTTTTCAATTGTTCTCATTTTTGTGTTTTCCACGGCTTCTCATCGAGGCTTTTGTCCGTTTTCGTGTGAATCTTTGTCATGCCTCTCATTGGGGCGTATATTGTACTTTGTCCGTTTTTCGTGTGAATCTTTGTTGTTTTTTTCCTTGGCCTTTCATTAAGGCATTATCTTGTACTTTTGTCCGTTTTTTGTGATGATTTGATTTCCAGTGATTGTTCTGTTTTACTAATCTCAATTGTTTTTCTGTTTTTAACTTTTTCTGCATACTTTTCTTTCTTAAATCATCTTCCTTTATAAGGTATTCGAAGGTTCATAGCTTCTTTAGTTAGTCAATGTTGTTGTATTAATTAGGGAACTCCCTGGCGCGCGCGATAAAAATAAAAAATAAAAAAATAAAAATACAATAAAAAATAAAAACCCAAAAACGTCTTCTTCCTTCTGTTTTTAATTGTTCTTTTCTTTTCTCATTCTCCATCAACCGCCTTCGAATACCTTTCCAGTAAGGGTAATTTTTCCCTTACTGATGTTCTCTCCGTAGGTTCAGTTGATTTTTGACTCGTCCTAAACGAGTTTCAGCTCTTTGATAGACGGGCTTAAAAATCCCCGTCAGAGCTTTGTTCATATCATGAACACTTTAGCTTCCTCATGGTGAAGTTCAAGTGGAGAAGAGGTAGTCTCTTCTGAAAATCTTTTTTGCTTCAAGGAGCCGTCATTTTTTCGGTCTCTGGCTTTCCGTAGGGTTCATTGAAAGAATTTTTCAAAACTCGCTCCTTATAGCGAGTCTCCAAATTTGACGGACTAAACACAGTCCTTTATGAAATTTTTTACACTCCATTTCAACTACTTCATCTTCATGAAGTAGAAAAGAGGCTCAAAAGAAGCCATATTTGAATTCTACAATTTTTCTATCATTCTCCGCTGGTCTAAAAACAGCCCGCAACCAAAATTTCAAATAATTTTTCACTTCGTCATGGTCGGCTTTTTGTGCAACAGTGGTAAGTTTTTGGTGAGTGAATCTGCCTGATATGGCTGGATTGTGGAGGTTGGAGGTCATTTTTCGAGTTTTTGTTCATTTTTCAAAATTTTTCAATATATTTTTTAAAAAGGGTGAAGCTTAGATGCTTTACGGTTTTGTTATTATTGATTTGGAACCAAAAGGATATTTTTATGTTCATTCACATTGAAACGATCGATTTTTTTGTCTGATGCGTTTCAGTTAGTAAACAGGAATTCAGTTTGTTTTTATTACAGTTGGATTTTTTGGAAAGTTTTTCAAATTCTATCACTTTTTGGACCACGGGTTTTCAGCTAGGAGCTCGACTGTTCTTTTTCCAGGCAAAAATGCCTTTTTCAATGATTTTTCAACCTTTTTCCCAACAAAAAGGCTGCATTACCACTTTTTGCCGATCTATCATTCTCCGCTGGCTAAAAACAGCCGCAACCAAAAATTTCAAATCATTTTTTCCCTTCTTCATGGTCGGCTTATGCGCAAAAGTGGTAAGTTTTTGGTGAGTGAATTTTTCTTTCTACTTTTTGCCTGATGAAGCTCATGGGTTTTTGACCATTTTTCAGGGTGAAGCTTAGATGCTTTGCAATTTTGTTTTTTCTTGATATGGAACCAAAAGAATTTTTCAATCATTCACATTGAAACGATCGTTTTCTAACTGATGCACTCAGTTGGAAACTCGACCGCTTCTGTTTTTTCGATTCCAATAGTCAATCGTCGTCCTTTTACTGAAAAAGGCAGTTTCTGGTTTTCAAAATTTTCTATTTTTTTAAAAATTTGCCTTTTAAAATGGGAGGCAGAAAGCACCTTTTACCGTCCGCAAAAAGGCTGTATTTATGATGGTCATCAACCTCGTTAAAAACAGTGGAGTTGTTTTTGGAAGTTTGTCGAATTCTCTTCCTTTTTGAATCACGATTCTGAACTCGTCGAACTTTTTACAGGCAAAACGCCTTTTTGAACGTTCAATGGTTTTTTCGTCCTTTTTCCCGACAAAAAGGCTGCATTACAATTTTTTGCTGATTTTTACATTGATTTTTTTAATCTTGATATTTTTGGCTTTGGAATTCGACCGTTTTTGTTTCAAATAAAAACGTTACTTATTTTAGTAGTCGATTTTTCCGCCAATTTTGGAAATAAAGAGATCACTCTTTACGCTTTCGTCGAAGCGCAATTACTTGAGAAAGTGTTTTTTGTCCTTTTTTCAAAGTGGAAAAGGCTATTTCGATCATTTTTCTTAATGAAGTACCATGAAAATAACATTTATTCCATTTCAAGCCATGGTTCTTCAGTCAGGAATTTTTTCACGTAAAAATGTTTTGTCTTCCTTCGCAAAAAGTGTATTATTAGGAGTTTTCCGCTCCCTCGATTTCATGTTTCCATAGTTAAAACTAGTTTTTGGTTTTGAAATAGAAAAAGGCAAAATCTACTTTCGAATACCAAATTTTTCGTATAAGCAAAAAGGCTATATTCATTGATTTCCGGTGTTTCTTCCGACATTACTCGAAAATCTGCCCTTAATGTTTGTTTTCAATTTTCATTCGCTTGAAGGATTTAGATAATATTATATTTGTTGAAAGAGCTGTGTAATTATTCTTGGTGTGATATATTCAGCTCGCCTAGGTTTCTTGTGATTTTTCCAAAAAGAAAACTCAATTCAAAACTTGTTCCCAATGAGCTGTTTAGTCTTTTTCATTACTTTTGAATGATGCGTATCGAAAAAACACTCAATTTAGCGCTTTTGCGTTTTTTCGGAGCAGTTTCTAAACGAAAGTTGTTGTTTTACGGATTTTGATCACACTCATGCAAGCAATACGTAATCAACTGAACGAAGTATTGAG